CGGGACTTGTAGCTGAAGCAAAAAGTGTTACGTGAATAACCTTCGTCAGACATTGTTTTAATGCTGCTAATTTTCACAAAGCTTTCACATTTTGTAAATACAATTCCATTGCCAATGATTTTCTTCAAACTAGTTTTCATGAATCTGTGATACTTAAAAGTTGGTTTCTGTAGTATTTGAAAGCTGATTTACATGCATGAAATTGGTAAGGTTCAATTTAAATCATTTGCTAGAATTCTATTTAATTTTAGTTGATCTAGGAGAAGATATTTGAAACTGGAGGATAAACTGGATAAGGAATTTCTGGGGTTAGTGGTCTGATTTCTTTGGCACAATGGATTTCAGAAAATTTAAATGTAAGCGTCATAAAGGTAAGGACTTAGTCACTATAGGCATACTACTTCGTATCCAGTGCTTAGCAAGTAGTAAATGCTCAAAAAATATTTGGAAATAGAGATGGAAAAGATGGAAATGGATGGAAGCAACATGATGGCCCCATTGGATTTTAATAGTATTAATGGAGTTTTAAGAAAACTCGTTCACAGTTGCAGAGTCTTATAGTAACAGAATGAATTGGGGTTTAGGGTCCACTTGAGATTAATAATAATTCCAACTTAGTCTGCTGCCCAGCTGACTGGTTTCCTCAGTAGTACTCAGGGCATTCATTCATTCATGGAGCATGCATTCACTGAGCACCTGTTATATGACAGGCACTGATCTAACGCTGGAGACACAGAGGAATAAAACAGACAAAAATCCCTGTGCTCTTGAAGTTTACATTCTAGTGATGAAAGACAGATCATAGATAATATACCATTTACATGATTATGTTATGATATACACACTATGACAGATGTAGACAAGTGCTATGGAGGAAAAAAAAAGCAGGAAAGGGGAATGATGAGACATTACTATTTAAAATAGGGTGATCAGAGAAGACCTCACTGAGAAGGAGCAAAGAGCTGAAGAAAGTGACGAAGGAAGCCATGCAGATGCCTGAGAGAAGAGCATTTCAAGCAAAGAGAGCAGCAAGTGCAAAGATCCTGTGGACAAAGTATCTGTGGATGTCAGTGTCCGACATGCTTAAGCAATGCTGGAGGTGGGGTGTTGGCAATGGGCTGGACCAAAGAGGAGGGGAGATGGCATGGAATGTGGTGAGAGGTAGTGGGGGACCTCTAGGCGTTGTATGTACTTTGGTTTGAACTCTGAGTGAGGTAGGTGGGAAGGCATTAGAGAATTTTGAAGAGGAGTGACATCTAACTTTTATAAAAGATTACCCTGAGGTTAGTGTTAAGATTAAACAGAAGGTCACTGAAGGTAGAAATATAAAATTCAAAACTAAAAGGTAGAGACTTCAATACCCTATCTCAATAACGGATAGCACAATCAGACAGAAAATTAGCAAGACTATATCAGCCAGCTAGACCTGACTGACATCTATAGAATATTCAAACAGCAATAGCAGAATAGACATCTCAAGTGCACATGGAACATTCTCCAGGATAGAACATATAGTAGGCCATAAAACAACTCTCAAAAAATTCAAAATAATTGAAATCATATAAAGTATGTTCTCAAACCACAATGGAAACATAAGGGGAAAATTTGGAAATCACAAATGTGTGGAAATTAAATGATACACTGTAAGTTACCAATGGATCAAAGAAGAAATCATAATAGAAATTAGAAAATACTTTGAGGGACTTCTCTGGTGGTCCAGTGGTTAAGACTCCACGCTCCCAATGCAGAGGGCTGGGGTTCGATCCCTGGTCAGGGAACTAGATCCCGCATGCTGCAACTAAAAGATCCCACATGCTGCAACAAAGATCCCACATGCTGCAACTAATACCCGGTGCGGCCAAATAAATAAATAAATATGTTTTTTTAAAAAGGAAAATACTTTGAGATGAATGAAAATGAAATATACCAAAATTTATGGGATGCAATGAGAGCAGTACTTACAGGAAAATTTAAGGTACAAATTTTTTTTAATTGAGGTATAATTGCCATGTAACATTATATTAGTTTCAGGTGTATAACATAATGATTTGATATTTGTATATATTGCAAAATGATCACAATAAGTCTAGTTAACATATTTTGGAATAAATCTAAGTGGAAGACTAAAAATTAAAAATTACAAAGTATTGTTGAAAGTAATTAAAGAAGACCTAAATATATGGAAAAACATCCTATGTTCTTAGATTAAGAAAGAATCCACTCTGGAAAACAGTTTGGCAGTTCCTCAAAATTGAAATCTCCAGCTATTATTGTAGCACTGTTTATTTCTCCATTTAATTTTGTCCATTTTAGCTTCATGTATTTTGGAGCTCTTAGGTGCTTCATATACTTTGGAGCTATTTTATTAGGTCTTTTATTAGGTTTTATATTTGGAGTTCTTTTACTGGGAACTCATTTATTAGATATAATTGTTACAGCTTCTTGATGGATCGACCCTTTTATCAATATAGAGTATGTTTCTTTGTCTCTTGTAGCAATTTATTTTCTAAAAGTCTACTTTGTCTTATATTAGTATAGCTACCCAGCTGTCTTTTGTTTACTATTTACATGGAATTTTTTCCCATCTTTTCACTTTCAACCCATTTATGCCTTTGGATCTAAAGTGAGTCTCTTGTAGACAGTTTATAGTTGGATCATGTTTTTAAATCTATTATGGCAATCTCTACCTTCTCATCAGAGAGTTTAATACATTTTCATTTAATGTAATTATTGATAAGGAAGGACTTTGGTCATTTTGCCATTTGCTTTCTATACATCTTATATAATTTTTGTTCCTCAGTGCTTCATTCCCATCTCCTTTTGTATTTAACTTTTTTTATTATACTGTTCTGATTCTCTTCTCATTTCTCTTACTCATTTGTTTTAGTTATTTTCCTAGTGCCTCTCCTGTGTATTACAATTAACAGTTATTTATAGCAATCTAGTTTGCATTTATACCAAGTTACTTTCAATTGTGTCCAAAACTTTGCTCCTATGTAATTCCATATATGTTGTTATGTACCCTGTTTTATGTTGTTATTGTCACAAATTACATCGTTCTACATTGTGTGCTAATTCACATAGATATTTAGTTGTTGTTTATGCATTTGTCTTTTAAATAATGTAGAAAAAAACAAGGAGTTACAAACCAAAAATACAATAATGCTGGCTTTTGTATTTTTCTATGTAGTTGCCTTTACTGATCTTCTTTATTTCTTTGTAAGGCTTCAAGTTACCATATATTGTCCTTTCACTTCAGCCTGAAGGATTCACTTCAGCATTTCTTTTAGGGCTGCTCTATTACTGACAAATTCCCTCAGTTTTTGTTTTTCTGGGAGTGTCTTAATTTCTACTTCATTTTTGAAGAATGGTTTTGCCAGATATAGAATTCTTGGTTGATAGTTTTTCTCTTTCCATGCAGGCATATCTCAGAGATATTGCGGGTTCAGTTCCAGACCACTGCAGTAAAGGTAATATCACAATAAAGTGAGTTATAGGAATTTTTTGTTTTCCCAGTGCATATAAACTTATGTTTATACTATACTGTAGTCTATTAAGTATACAATAGCATTATGTCTAAAAAAACAATGTATATGCCTTAATTAAAAAAAAACTTTATTGCTAAAAAATGCTAACCACGATCTGAGGCTTCAGCGAGTCATAATCTTTTTGCAATAGTAACATCAAAGATCCCTGATCACAGATAACCATAACAAATATATTAATAATGAAAAAGCTTGAAATATTGTGAGAATTACCAAAATGTGACACGGAGACATGAAATGAGCAAATGCTGTTGGAAAATGGCGCCAATAGACTTGCTCAACAGGAGGTTGCCATGAACTTTCAATTTGTAAAAAAAATGCAGTATCTGCCAAGCACAGTAAAGTGAAGAGCGATAAAACAAGGTCTGCCTGCATTTTAAATGTAATCCACTGCCTCTGGCCTCCATCGTTTCTCATGAGAAATCAGTTGTTCGTTTTACTGGGAATCATTTGTACAGGATGAGTTGTCTTTCTCTTGCTGCTTTCAAGGTTCTCTCTTTGTCTTAGGCTTTTGCCAGGTTGATTATACGTGTTTTAGTGTGAATCTCTTTGAGTTTATATTACTTGGAGTTCACTGAGCTTGGGTGTGTAGATTCATGTCTTTTGCCAAATTTGGGCTATCTTGGCCATTATTTCTTCAAACATTCTTTCTGCCCTTTTCTCTGGGGCTTCTGTTAAGTGTAAGTTGGTGTTTTGGATCATGTCCCACAGACCTGTTAGGCTCTGTTTATTTTTTCCATTTTTTTTCCTTCTCCTCCTGAAACTGGATAATCTCATATTCACAGATTCTTTCCTCTGACTGCTGAAGGCTGGTTTTTCATTTTAGTGATTGTACTTGTCAACTCCAGAATTCTAAATTGATTCCTTTTTTTGTGATTTCTGTCTCTTTATTGATATTCTCAGTTTGGTGAGACATCATCCTCCTAGTTTCACTTAGTTGTTTTTCAATGGTTTTCTTTAGCCTTTTGAACATATTTAAGATAGCTGATTTAAAGCTTTTTCTGAGTCAGTGTCCAGTGTCCAGAGTCCAATGGCTAGGCTTCCTCAAGGACGGTTAATTTTTCTTTTTCCTGTAAATGGGCCATACTTTCTTCTTTTTTTGCACACCTTGTAATTTTTTGTTGAAAATTTGACTTTTTTAATATTGTAACGTGGCAACTCTGGAAATTGCTTTTCCCCCCCTCCCCATGATTTGTTGTTGCTTGTTTTTTATCAATATTTTTTGTTGAAGTATAGAGGATTTACAATGTTATGTTAATTTCTGCTGTACAGCAAAGTGATTCAGTTATACACATACATATATATATATACATATACATTCTTTCTCATATTCCTTTCCATGATGGTTTATCACAGGATATTGAATACAGTTGTCTGTGCTGTATACTAGGACCTTGTTGTTTATCCATTCTATATATGCATGTTGCTTGTTTTTTAAATGACTTTTCTGAACTAATTTTTAAAGCATATTCTCTGTAACGTGTGGCCACTGAAGCCCTTTCCCACTAGGGGTCAGATAGTGGTTTGGCAGAGATTTCCTTAAATGCCTGGAACCAGAAAAACCAAAAACAAGGCACTAAAGGCTCTTTTCGGTCTTTTCAGATGGGCTCTGTGTCGGGTGCTCCTTCAGTGGCCACCCAGGCCATGTACTTCCTGCTCACAAGGAGCCTGTAGCTCAGCCGGAGCTGAGAGCTTTGAGCCTTCTCAGGTCTGTTCTGAGCACGTGTCGAGACCAGGCCTCCATGTGGCCTTCCAGAGCCCTGGAATACATGGAAACTTTTCAAAGCCTTGATTCCCTGAAGTGTGCCCTTCTCAAGCCTCTTTTTTCCCAGGATTGTTGGTTTTTCTATTGCTTGACCTAATTGTTATCCTTTGTTGCACGTGGCAGCAGCTAATACATTTGTCTTTAAATGTTTTTGGCAAATGTCACCCAGGAAGCTGCCTTAACCCTGGGGAAGCTCCAGGCAAGCCCTTAAACAGATCTTTCAGGGAGCTACCATACAGGTCAAAATGCAGAACTACAATTCTTTGAGAGTAAGGTCAGTATTGGTTTCTCTGGTACCAGTAACCTGCACCAGGGAAGTGGGCTTCTGTCCTCAAGTGTGTAGCTGTGTTGGGGAGTCAGGGTGGTGACAAGGCACGTTAAAATGCCACAGAGCTCTCTTACCAAAATTCAGCTTTTTTCTTCGTTAAGCTTTCCCCTTGTTGTTGTAAGTTTTAAGAATTAGATTTTAGAGTGCTGAAGAAGTTCATTGTGGTAATTTTTCCCAGCTTCTTCATTGCTGTTGTTGAGGGATGAAGTTTCAAGGTTCTCTACTCTGCTGTTTTCACTGATTTCTGCCCAAAGGAGAGAGTGGGTGAGGTGAGTGTGATATTACTGGTTCCAATAAAAGAGTGGCATCCAGTCCAGATCCCTTCAGGTTTGGCTGGCAGTCCTCTGAGTTGGAAGGCACTGACCGGCCCCCTGTGTGGGGTCACCTTTGAGGTATGGACGCAAATTCTGCCTCAGGTGCCTTCACTCTTCGGGCATGCAGACTGACAAAAGGCTTTTCATCTGCCTAGAAGGTTTTCAGTTTTCCTGGAATAAGTAAATCCAGGAAAACCTGGCACTGGGATACTTGGTGAAGGTCTTCACAGATTCCAAAGTTCAGCACTGGACACAGGCCCTGGGATGGTGAACTTTTATGTGACCTGGGAGAAGATCCAGAAAAGAATCAATCCGTCCTTTTACCTGGACTCTTTTGAAGACCCCTGTTTGACATCCTGCAAACATAACTCACGCCTCACCTGCCTTGGGCGTTTGGTAAGGGAGAATCAGGATGGGCTTTTCAGTCGTCCACGGTGTCTCGATATGCCTCAGACACAGAGCTCCCAGATCAGCGCAGCCCCGGAGGCTGGCGGCTGAGATCAGAGCGCTGTGCCTGCGCTGAGCGCGCACCACACGATGCTGAAATTCCGTCTGGATCCAGCCACCGCTGGCTCGCTCGGACTCTCTGCGACCTGTGGTGTGTCCCGCTGAGTCCGACGGAGAGTGCTGAGACGTTCCTTCCTCTCTGCTGCTTGTGTCCTGGGCTCCGCTTCAGCTCTGGCTGCTACGTTGGATGGAAACGGGGAGGAGGGTTGACATGGGGTGGCGTCTGCGCAGAGTCCGCCTCTTGTCAAGGGACATTCTCCGTGTCTTTAGAGCTTGAATTCTGGGTTGGGAGCCTCAGAAGAGGATAAAAAGTTGCCGTGATCCCAACCCAGGACCCATGAACCTTAAAATTTCAGAAGGCGAGCGTTTTCCTGGTTTTGACCCGAAAGCCATTTCCTTTTGGGATGCTTCTGATGGTTTCCATCTATACGCATTCAAAACTGTGTTTACCTCAGGGCCTTGGCATTAACCTTCTGTCCTAGGATCCCAGGACAGGGTGAGAATGTGGAACCCATGAAGGTCCCTCCCAAGTGAGCTACAAATACTGCCGTTTGGCCACAGCCATCCCGAGAAAACGTGTAAACTCTTCCTAAAATGAAAAGCAAATGGGAGAAAACTGTTGGCTTACGTGTGCCCAAGCTCTTCTGTTATGGCAAGGGGTTTATAAGGTTGGGAATACTGAGCGGGTTTTGTTTTGTTTTTTCTCCCTGATAAGGAAGGCTTAGGATAGAAATTGCTAAAATAAGTCATTAATTCCAAGTGGTAGGTTTTGCTTAGGATGGACCCGGAACAAACCCAAGAGGTACCATTACAAGTGTGGTTAGGTTTCCTCTTGTATGTTTCTGAGAAGACATGTCCATGAATTGCTGCTTCCAGAGGAAACCAAGAGACTGTTTCTGAACGGTATCCAGGAGGATCTGTGTAAACCGTCAGTGAAAACGCTCCTAGTCAAAACGAGAGATGTGTGGGTGAGCCGTGAACAAAGAAACCTTATCCTGTTGAAAGCTTGGACTACCAAATGAGAAAGGGGACCAAAATGCAAACGAAGAATCCAACTGAACAAGGCAAAGGGGGCCTCAGAGTCAGAAGGTTCTTAAAAGGGAAGTGCTTGCAAAGAGAACAAGGAAGTCAAACTTCTGAGGGATTCACTCCTCAAACAGAGAACTGGACAGGTATGTAACCAAATAAACCAGAGTTATCAAGGTTCCCAAGTTTACATTAGTCTGTTAGTGGTGGCTATAGACAACTCCCTCATGAGATTATAAAGACCAAATATATTCTCAGACATCAACATAACAAAATCAGGCTTTAAACTCTTTCTGTTTGGAAATCCAGGTTTATAGGATTTTCAATATTTTCGTTTCTTGGAGGAAGATCTGAACCAGTTAGGATGACCCTGTAATGTTTGGTTTATCTCGGAGTGCAGAGTGCTTGACTTTTCTCCTGACTGCCGTCTGAAGTGCTCCATCATGTTGGAAACAGAGCAATGTGTCAGCAGTGCTGGCCTCTGGCAGCCCTCCTTGGTCAAGTTCCTGCCGCTGAGGTATGGATTTGACTGCAGAGTTGGCTGTTGCTTTTAAATTCCGTATCTTTAATTGGTCATTTTGTGTTATTTGGCTAATTTACTTATATAGGAGTAACTAGTGTTCTTCTTTTTACAGAAAGTCCTTTTAATGGTTATCAAAATGCAGGGTACGGAGGCTTAAAAGTACACTTTGGTGGGGGGCGGGGGGGGGGCGTTGCTCGGTATTTAGCGTTATAATTTCCTTTTATGTTTACTGCCATTATCAGATCAATTAGGATTGGGAACTAAGGAACTAATTCACTCTACCAGGTTGGGCTGAAGTAATTATGACTGTAAGGCTCCCCAGGTTTTTCCTGATCCCGGCCTGCAAGGAGGTGACAGACTCATGTGTGTAAGGGGAGGATTTCATAGGCCACAGAGCAGACACCAGGCAATTTCTTCTGGGGGGAATTTGTGGGCATCATTTCTACATGTGAATCAGCCCATAAGAGTGGGCTTACGAAATGTAATTCCAGAAGGATTCAACACTTAAATGTGAAAGGTAAGACCTTGAGGCATTTAGAAACAGGAGACTATCTTTTCTTCACCTCTGTGTAAGAAAGAAGTACTTCAACGAGACACAGGAAGCTCTAATTGGAAAGATTGACTATGTTAATCTGTGTTAAAATTAAGAACTTCTGTTCCTCAGCAGGCCAACAAGAAAGTGCAGAAACAATCTACAAACTGGGAGAAGGTATTTGCAGACACATAGAGCTGAAGAAGGAAGTAGTATTCAGATTAATCGTATAAAACGAACAGAAAAAGACAACCAACCAATGGGAATACGGTCCAAACGCATGAAAACACATTTCACAGGAAGCAGAAACACAAATGGTGAGTAAACATACAAAAAGTTGCTCCCCCTGTTAGTAATTAAGGAAATGCAAGAAGAGACTGTAATGACATACCACATAAACCCCACTGAATTGGCTAAAACTAAGTCTTATAATCACAAGTCAGTCTCAAAGATCAGTAGAAACTCTTACACACTGCTGGTGGGATGATAAACGTACACAACCGCTTGGACACAATTTGAGAACACCTTGCTAGTTGAATGTTCACATTCCCTATAACTCAGCAATTCTACTAGTATGTACCCTACAACCGCTTCTGCACGTGCACACAAGGAGCCATCCATAAGGACATTCATAGCAAGACTGAAACGGTATTTCTACCTTCTTTCCTGCATGCATTGAATAGATGCAAAGTCTACCTCTCTGGGTGAAGTCACCTAGAATTTTAGTTATATGCATAACTCCTTAGGGAAGTGCTTAAAAATTAACAAAGAAGATTTTTGTAGAACTACTCACTCTTTTTTTATTCTGGATAATTTTAACCTATCATCAGATTGGCAAGTCACCTCTAATAAAATATAAACTGAAGATAGATTTTTTTTTCTTCATTGTCTAAGCTTTTCAATTTTGTTCTCCTTTGCTATTGTCTAGTTCCAAAAGGAGCAGCTTAGTGTGAAATTTGTGGGAAGGATGCTATTCAGAGTTTAATGCCATTATGTAGTAACCCAATGAAAGTCCAGCATAAAGAATATAGGTGTTTCTAGAAAATGCTAAAAATTATTTGAAAAATGAAGTCATAGACATAATTTCTCTAAAATGGAACATTCAATCATAGAGTTGGAGGTTGAATAAATGAATGGATGATTGAATGAAAGGTTGTTTCAAAATGCATCATTAATGAATTGGAAATAATCAACTGTGTCACTTAGTCCTAAAAACATTCCTCTAAGGAACTATTAGCATCATATGGCAAACTTTAAGAAAAAAAAAAAAAAATGATACCCAAGCCCCAGGTGAATTGAATCAGAATCTCTAGGAGAGGGGAGTAGACATTAGTATTTCTTAAAAGCCCCCGGATGAGCCTAAACTGTAACAGGTTGTGAAGCACAGAGCTACAGCCTTGTATGACTTCAAAGTGAGACCCAAGGACAACGTCACCTGGACCGTTGTTATCATTCAGAATCTTTAACCCCACCCAGACCTGATGAATCACTCTGCAGTTTAACAAAGTCACCAGATGACATGTAACAGTATTAAAGTTTGAGAAGCTCTGGGGAGTTGGAATTGCCTTCCATCCTGCATGCTATTCTGCTACATCTTGGATCAGGAGGTTGGGGACAGGTCTTTAAGATTCTGTTCCAACTTTAACCTGAAAATGAGTGTGGGGTGGGTGAAATAGGTGAAGGTGGTCAAAAGGTGCAAACTTCCAGGTCTAAAGTAGATAAATCCTGGGACTTCCCTGGAGGTCCAGTGGTTAAGACTCCACGCTTCCACTGCAGGGGGCATGGGTTCGATCCCTGTTTGGGGCACTAAGATCCTGCACGCTGCACGGTGTGGCCACAATCAATCAGTCAATCCTGGGATGTACTGTACAGCACAGTGACTATAGTTAATATCACTGTATGTATATTTGAAAGTTGCTAAGGGAGTAGATCTTAAAAGTTCTCATGCATGGGGAGCCCCAAATAGCTGAGGGTCAGACTCTGTTTCAACTTCCAATTGAACGGAACTATGTGTTCCCTGCAGAAATATCCTTCCGAGGCCACAAGCCCAAAGTCAGACAGGAAGCAGGTCTTCTTTTGGTGGTTATTTGGTGTCATAGTGAGAAGGGCCACTCCTATCCCCCCACCTTGGTTCCCAGACCACTGCAGTCCGGTTATGGGGGCAGTGGCACCAAATGCTGGCTGCTGGTTTGGGGAACTGACTGCATCCACTAGGCAGGTACCCACCTTGCAGGGTCTTGCCTTCCAGCTGTCACCATATCTGTCTTCAGCAGGCCCCTCTATTAAGCAATCTCTTTCTAGGGAACGAAGCATGTGATAAAGCCAGTGAATTCCATGGCCAAGCTCCCACTGGCAAATGACAGCCTCTGAAAATGCATCTTCTTTGGGGAGGAGATGCTGAGTTGCAACACCATGGTGATAGAGAAGACATTCTCTAAGTTCAGGAATGTTGGTGCTGGCAGAAGTCCTGGGGGCAGGGAAGGAAAATCTGTGATGGGAGCAAAGCTCTGTCTCTCTGAGGCTGGTTCTGGCCCCTCCGTGACGGAAGGGGTCTCCGGCTGGTCCCCTTGAGGAGCAGTGCCATTTTAGGGTCTCAGTGTTGCTCACCTGCTGGCAGATTGGACATTCAGCCTTGTCCGGAGCCAGACCAGCGCTGGTGAGAGAGAGTGTGCTACTGGCCTGTGCACAGCTTCCACCCTCGCCTCATGTGTCCTTTGCTCATGGGCCCATGGAGCAGGCACGTGGGTGGCGAGGAAGAGACTTACACACATCCACAGGGTGCATCATCTTGACCACTTGATTATCGCTCTGGGCTGCGTTGTACCTCCTAAATCCATGTGTTGAAACCCTAACCCCCGTGTGTCTGTATTTGGAGACAGGGCCTTAAGGAGATAATTAAAGTTAAAGGAGGTCATACGGGTGGAGCACTAATCCAATAGGACTGTTGCCCTTAGAAGAAGAGGACGATTACATGTTCATTATAGCTTAGTAAAGCTGGAAAAAAAATTTAATAAACAAAAATGAGGAGCAAAGGGAAGAAAAGACCGAGAGACATCAAAAAGCCCTCTATGCATGCTCAGAGGAGAGGCCAGGTGAGGACGGAGAGAAGGCCACCTTCTATAAACCAGGAAGAGAGGCCTCACCAGAAACCAGTCCTGGTGGCACCTTGAGCTCGGACTTTGAGCCTCCACAACTGTGGGAAGATAAATGGTGGTTGTTTAAGCCTCCCAGTCTGTGGAACTGTATTCTGACAGCCTGCGTACGTTCTGTGCACATTCCAAAAAGTCCAGCCACACGTCTCTCCCCAAGCTCTCCTGTCACTAAACAGACAATTTATTTTTTCCAAGTCCCCAATCAACGTGGTGAACATGTTACCACTGGCCATGAATTGGATGGATGGCATTCCTCAGACCTCCTTCCCTTCCATACAGAATAAACCAGAAGGAATGCCTGGAGTTCCGCCCGCTGGGGGGACCGCCTCTCCCTCCCTACTTTCAGGCCATCCCTGCACAGGGCCGCAGCTCAGCGGCTCATCCCTGCTGTCTGGTTCCACCCTACCATATGCATCCATTAGTAAATCCAGCCCCGCTTTTCCTTCTCTGTATGTGGCTGCAGGGAACTTGCCATTCAGGCCATCAGCATGTGTTGAGAGGCAGTCAGGCAGTAGGGAGAGGTACCGTGGAGCCTGGACTGACTGAGCTGTGGTTTCCAGACCTGCAGAACTTGGTCTCAATGTATCATTCACACTTTACAGCAGTGCTGCTGGGCATGTCCCGGGCGTGATGGGCAGCTTAAATCACATAGTCCTTTGTGACCCAGGGTCAAATGTTCAGTCCCTATGGGGCTCTGCAACAGTCCAGGAGCTGCTTTTCAACTGAAAAACCAGTTATCAGCAGTTGACTTTACTTGGGTCCTATTGGGCTTGCCAGGAGCCCCCGATAGCATCTCTGTCTGCCTCAGATCCTTCCACGCCACTGGGTCTGCTGCTCAGACTGCTTGTAACGCAGCCTGGATTTGTTTCTGAACCCCTTTCATACCCTCAAAGTGCCCTTGAGTGCACTTGAGTGCCCACTCAAAACCAGTAGCCTTGTCAGATACCCAGTAATTAGGTCAGAGCGGCACACAGAAAATTATGGTTTAGTTTGCCTCTAAACTCACTACATGTTGTGTCTCCTATGTGGTACACGGGGCGAGATGCAGCAGCTATCTCTCCCATGTAGCAGGAGACACCCCAACATGCCCCAGACCACTGGGCCCCTGGAACCATCAGTGATGTCACAGCCGTGGACTTCCCAGGGGGTTATCTCCCAACTTCTTGAAGTCCACGTGTTACCAACGCACCTGAGGCGCCTGCCACCTCCTGCTCCCCAAATCAAATTAGCATAATGCCATCAGTGTAATGGGCCAGCGCCATGCCCCATAGAATAGCGAGACAAGCAAGCTCCCTCCAGATTATATTACGACAGCAGGATTTGATTCAGCTCTAAGGCAGGACAGTTAAGATATAGTGCTATCCTCGGCACATGAAGGCAAACTACTTTTAATTTTTTTTTTTTTTTTTTTGCTGATAGAGAAAGGGCATAGTGTAAGCATTTTCCAGATAATTAGGTGCATACCAGGTGCCTGAAAGTGTTGCCTTTCGAGCAGCCAACCCACAGCAACCCTGCTGAGAGAAAGCCAGGGTAATGAATTTGCCAATCAGTCTCCAATCTCCTGCTGGTGCCTCCAATTACCTAAGTCCATCTGAAAACCAATCCTATAGGTCAGCCCGTGGGACACAGGCAGAGTGGAGAAGGTGGAGATTGGGTCAGAGATGCAAATGGAAACCAGCCACCGTACTGGAACATGACATAGCACACACCAGATAAACGAATGAATAATTAGACCCTGCTCCAATGTTAAGGAAGGGGTCCTTTCTTAAGAATAGAATTTAGGAGTCATGTCACTGGGCAGGAAGCTTTCTGGATCAAACCGATTGAAGTTAGACTGCCAGGACAGGATGCACTTTCTGACTATTTAGTATACAATGGAGTCAGAGATCTTATATGCTAGCAAGGGCAGGATTTGAGGTTTTGAAAATTCTAGTGTCCTCTGCTGATACACCAGTGTTTCAACCGTCTCCTGAATGAGGTTGAGTTTTATCACAACCTAATGCCTCCCGCTTTCTGCTCCAGTTGGGGCACATTCTTCCTTCTGGAGATTATCAGGAGGTACAGGGTATTAAGATATTGGCACCTATGAACCTTGAGGACATTATGCTAAGTGAAATGAGCCAGTCACAAAAAGACAAATACTGCATGATTCCAATGAGATGAGGTACCTAGGGTAGTCAAACTCACAGAGACAGAAAGTAGAATGGCGGTTGCCAGGGGTTAGGGGGAGAGGAAATGGGGAGTTATTATTTAATGGGTACAGAGTTGCAGTTGTGCAAGATGAAAAGAGTTCTGGAGAAGGATGGAGGAAACAGTTGCACAAGAATATGAATGTACTTAATGCCACTGACCTGTACACTTAAAAATGGTTAAGATGTTAAATTGTATGTCGTGTATTTTACTACAGTTTTAAAAATTGGGGGAAAAAAGACATTGGTACCTGCTGTAGAAAAGCATACTTTAGAGATTCCTCAACTGATTAAAATCCCAGCATTACCACTTACTAGCCTTGGACAAGTTACTTAACCTCTCAGACCCTCAATTTCCTTACTTCTAAACTGGTATTGATAATGCCTATCTCACTGGGATACTGAGAGAATTAGGGAGATAATATGCATAAGCATTTCCAGCAGAAGCCCTTTATAGACCCTGATGCCCTTTGTCCTTTGAAAGAAAAA